TTGATGGGGTTGCTATTTCCCTGCGTTCTGCATAGACAACGTAGCCCGTTTGAAAAGGAAAAACTTAAAAAATAGAAAGCTGGCTTCCTGGTTTAATGTAGAGCTGTGCACTTTAAACCAAAATGCTAGGAAACCTACCTAGTCTGGAAAAATAGTTTACTGCCGTATAAGATTACCCTTTGTAAAGCAAGAGCAGCATATTTCTCCTCAATAGAGGAGAATAAGAATAATTCTAGATATCTTTTCAATACAGTTGCTAACCTCACCTAGAGCCATAGCTCTGTTGAACCGTCTGTCCCACCTGCTCTTAGCAGTAATGATTTTATGGGATGCTTTATAGATAACATTGATTCTATAGTAAATAATATCATTGACACCCCTACATATACGACTGGTTTATCTCTGGAAGCAGTATCTAAGGTAACTATAGAATCTGAACTGGGTTTAGACTGTATTCCCTCTGATCTCCTCCTCTATTTTAGATGTGATTAATCTATCCCTGTTACAGGGATATTTACCAAAGGCTTTTAAGGTTGCTGTAATTAAACCTTTAGTTAAGAAAACTGTCTCTTGGCCCAGATGACTCGGTCAATTATGGACCTATATCAAATTTCCTTTCTTATCTAAAATTGTTGAGGAAATAGTTGCCAAACAAGTGTGCGATCACTTACACTATAACAAACCTTTTGAAGAGTTTCAGTCTGGCTTTAGAGCTCATCATAGCACTGAAATAGCTCTGGTGAAAGTCACTAATGATATTGTGATGGCCTCAGATAATGGACTTTTATACGTACTTGTCCTGTTGGATCGCAGTGCTGCGTTTGGTACAGCTGACCATGATATTCTTTTAGAAAGACGTGAATATTTTGTAGGAGTTAGGGAACAGTAATGTACAGTAATGCTTGTTTGAATCTTATTTTTCTGACAGATTTCTGTTTGTTCATAGTATATATCTGTCTATACATTTTGATGAAACTAACCAACATCTGTAAGACATAAAAACCTGGAAGACTCTAAACTTTCTACTCCTGAATGCAGACAAAACAGACATTATAGTCCTTGGACCAGAGTCTTTGGAAAAGAAGCTGATTAGTAAGTTCTTTCATTTGGATGGAATTAAATTGATATAAGATAATAATGTATAAAATCTTGGTTTTAATTTTGATCAGGACCTGTTATTTAAAACCCACATCAATGAGGTTTCTAGAATTTCCTAAGCTTAGCCAAAGGGAGCAAGTAACTGGCAGCTTCCTAGAAATGCAGTGGCATAGAAAGCACAATATTTGCCTTGGGAATGAAGTGGAGTGAAAGTTATAAGTAGCCCCTCAAAAATTACTCCAGTAAAAAGTACTAAAGTACAGTGATCAAGTAACTGTACTTTGCTACTTTCCACCACTGCAGCTATCTAACGGGCCCCAAAGCTTATGCTGGTTAAACCACTCTAGCTTTTCTATGCAGTTTCACTTTCTATTTTCAGATGCTCAATTCAACAATCACCTTTGATGTGCATTCTGTAATGTATCTCTATAATGCAACTCATTTAACTAATGTTATGCCTGGCAGTGGTCTTTGTCTTTTGATGTTTTAACTTAACAGCCAGACATCAGTTGAATTGCAAACAGACTCTGTTTTCCAAATGATTGATTTCATATGGAAAATAACACTGACAGCATACAAATGTGTATTGGTAAGAAATGAAAAAAGGAAATGCCATGTTTTGCTCTATCATATACAATTACTATAAAATACGTTAAAGTTTGCAACTATAGTGCAACAAAGAATGTAAAAAATTTGTGTTGCAAAGCACTTTACAAAATAGTTTACCATTAATCTAAACTTAACTCCTTTTTCAAAATAAATACATCTAATTATATACAATGAGTCAGTCCAGAACAGTGCACATTTCTGTAAGACAGGGGTTTACCACCTAAATAATGAGGCAGCACATCAGAGAAGAATGTACACTGACCGGGGAGTTTTCCAGTAACAAAGTACAAATACTTCATTATGTTACTTAAGTAGAAATTTTGGAAATCTATACTTTATCGGAGTACTTATTTTTTAGACAACTTTTTACTTCTACTCCTTACATGTTTTGCAATTATCTCTACTTTTTACTCTTTACATTTTAAAAATAGACTCGTTAGTTTTTGTTTTGTTTTTTTCATTTGAGCACATTTTTGTTATAGCCTGTTGGTATAAAAAAAAAAAAGATACAATTCGTCAAAATAATTTGTGTCATCCAGACAATTAATATATTTGTGGTTGGACTCTGTGCTCCATCAACTTGTTTTTCACTACAAACCAAAATAACTAGTTTTCAAGATGATGCACAGTTAAATCTGACACTGTTACCATTAGTTATAAAACTAAGAACCATAAGTATAGAGAAGTTATAATGCAGAATTGTAGAAAAATTGTCCTTTAATAGAGTAGTGCAGTAAAGCATCTGCCCTTAAAATTCTTTGCTGCATTACTTTTACTTTTATACTCTAAGTAGTTTTAAAATTTGTACTTGTACACTTTTACTTTTTCAAAAAGCTTAAGTTGATCCTCTTAACTTCTACAAACAGTTATACTTCTAACTGAGTAATAAACATGAATACGTTTGACAGCTCTACAGTGGAGTGTTGAAACAAAATAAAATCAAGATGTAATTACGTTTATATAGATTCCTCCAGCAGGTGGCAGTAATGCAGTTCCGTAGTTGTAGGTTGGTTTAAACCTCGAGCAAGAAGAAGAAGGGGATGGCGAGGGAAATGAAGTGAAATGAAGAAGCTTAACTGTCACTTTATGTTCTTCAATACGTTCAGGATCAGCTTCTGAGAATCAGTGAGTGAAGCTGGTTTTGGAAGATGCCGAACGAATGTCGCTTTTAACCTGCTGGTTAGAAAATAATCTAACCTGTTTTCGCTGTTTTAGAGTTTCGCTGTTACTATCAGCTGATGATATGTCAGGCAACAACTGCAGGCAACGTTACATTCTTTCACTGCTGATAGGATTTTTATTCCATTTCATTTTTTTTTTTTTGACCATCCGTATAAAAAAGAACGACGGCGTAATAGGGGCATTCATAGACGGGGGAAAAATTGGAATTAAAATGTTGAGTTTAAAGTGGCATATTTACAAGAATAAACACCCAAATAACTAGTAAAAGCAAACACATTTAGAGACTTTAGACAGGTTTTATTTGTCATTTTGTTTACTGAAGTGTAAAACAAAAATAAATTTCGTTTGGAAACAGCTCACTGGACAATTTCATCTTTTTAAAAGTGCACCCTTGGGAAAAAAATTCAGATTCTTTTTACTCTTTAAATGTAGAAGGAAACAAGTAGCAAAGCACGAGCATAAATACACACATTTACAAGAAAAACACGCACATTTATGAGATTATAAAGATGCACCCCTAAAACGAGGAGATAATTCCATCGCTAAACTCCCTGTTAAAGATATATTTGTGCCAATGCAGCTACATGTTTAAATCTTGCAAAATTTCAATCATTTCTCCTAAATGTGCTTGTATTTTTTCTTATTAATTTGCTACATTTTCTCTTACATTTCTATATATTAAATTCGTAAATTTTAGTGTTTATTCTCGTAAACATTTAAGTATATAAGAGTATTAACTTTATTTATGGAGTTATTTTATTTCACTTATAGAAATTTGGTTGATTGAATCATTCAGTAAAGTTATTCAAGTGTTTCTGTTTCTTTTATTATATATTACTGCTTAGGAAAAACCCCACATTTGAGGGATAACAACGAAAATGGAAATAATTAGGACATATTTGAATATATATATCCTTTGTATTACTTTAATGTATTTTTTCTTTTAGTTTATGCAAACAAATTTTTTTTTATCAAAAACTAAGATTGATATACTCATAACAAACCTTTTATTTAAATAAAGGTTTCCTTTTGCAAAAAATCAACATGCAGTAAGATTTATTGGAATGTATTTTGACTTTTTGTAATGTTTTTGCATTTCCTTTTGCCTACAGAGTATCATGGGCCGCCACAGCAGCAGTTTTAACTCCTTTGTCTTTCCTGTTGTAATGGGATGTCTTGCTGCGTTGATGCTTAGCAGCGCCTTGATATACTTGTATCTGGAAGGTGTGTATCAGTCAGATGAGAAGCTAGTGAGTACCCATGCTGGCTGTCTCTCTCAACACTTTAAACTGCCATCAATGGAAAACTGTAGCAAATGGCTCCAGTGTTCACAGATCAAATCAGAAGTGCACAAGGTGAAGCTGATTGGCCAGGGAGCTGTAAAGAAGGTGTGTATACTTTTAAATTCTGTCTCTCTTTATTGTTTATAGATATGTTGACAGATAATTTATGTGTCCTTAATAATATTTTCAAGAATACGTGAATTGATGCTACACAAGCACATACAAGGGGCGGTTTATTGCCATTTTATAGCTGTATAGATTCGGTTGATTCATACTCCGTCATTCTACTTTTTTTTAATTGTCAATATGCTAGTTTCCTATTCTGTTTTTCTCTCTTTTGGACCAGAAAGTTTTAGTTCTGTTAATGTTTTTTACTCACTGAAGTGACCAACCCAGGGACACATTCACTTGATGGTGGAACCTGTTTATATTTAGGCTGAAACTGTATCAGAAAGACAGAAGTTGACTCTGGCCAACTAGTTCTGAGCTGGACTTTTTTTTTTTTTTTTAGATGTCTGTTATGTTAAAAAAATGATTTTGCCACATAATCCTCTTCTCCATTGAAAATAGCTGGTTAAGGCCTGTTTTTTTAAACATCGGTTGACCCGCTAACAATCTGCATTTGGCCCCCATCCCACTGGCAAAAAAGCTGGCCTAACCCCTCGCTGACAGCTGTGTATTTGGTGACATCATCCTGCTGCGTTATAGCATTGATGATGTCACCAGTGCGAAAGAAATCAGGAAAGTAAACAATGGAGCACAACAGGTAAGGAAGCCAGGGCGTAGTCAGTGTGCTTCGTTGTTTCGCTCTATTATCTGTCTGAATCCTTCTCTCCAGCGCTGCTCCATCTTTATTAAACGTAAACAGAGTTGTTTCAGGTTGTTAGATTAGAAGCGACTGGCGCAGTGTGTTTAACTCCATATGTTGTGTTCAAGGGAATCATGTATTTTAGCTGGTCGACCCAAGTTTTATGTTCCCACAGCATGCCGCTCAGAGCTGAGGCGATTTTAACATGGGTCGCTTGCCGAGTCATTTGACCCGAGTAGTAGGGGTGTAAATCACATTCATCATGGCGATTCGATTCAGTATCGATTTCCTGACCCAACGATTCGATTATTTTCGATACTCAGAATACACCACGATACGATTCGATTCGATTCAATTAATCGGTAATTTTTATTTTTATTTTTTTTATACCTTACAGGCTAAACAAAGTTTCAAGTTTGAAATAAATCAATGAAAGCTGTAATATCGTTATGCATTTTTTATTTTAGAAACAACAGCAAATAACAGAAGTAGAAAAGTTGCATAAAAAAATACTGCAAAAATCAGTGCAATGAGTGCAATGCAATACCTCGGCTCCAGACGTCCCGCCCCCTCCACAGACGCTCCGCTGCTCCTCTCCCAAATTGTAGCTGACCGCAGACAGTGCCGCAGACAGGAGGCCGGCTTGTTTTGTTTTTATGACCGAAATTGCGGAAAACAACTCGTGAAGTTTGACCCGCTAGAAGAGCGAGGTGCGCAAGAACGCTGAGACCCTTTTCCCACCTGGATCTCCACTCTTTTTGCCCTCATGTCCCTCCGTCGTCGGACTAAACTCGCCCCCACTGCCTCGCCGCCTCGGCCGTATCTAGACCCACAGTGTGTAGCACAGACCACGCTTCAATATTGAGAATAATTTTAAAATGTCTGTGTCAAGCTCACTGCAACACACTGCTGTAAGAGTATAACCAGGAAGCGAGGTAGGAGGGCAAAATAGGTTTAGCGCCACCGCAGCACGGGAGGGAGAATTACGCCCAGGAGCAAATGGATAAAAATAGACCGTACGGGAAAAAAAAAAAACATGAATCGATTCTCTTGCGGACGTGTCGATGCATCGGATCGTCGGCTGTTGGATCGATGCATCGATACAAAACGATCATTATTTACACCCCTACCGAGTAGATACGCTCAATGAGCTGTTCCCACTGCCACTAAAAGCCGATTTTTCCCGGGTTTAAACAGGTTTTTCAGCCAGTGGGAAAGGGTTGCTATAGACCTTTCCTGACATTTGGCCTGCTAAGGTGGAGGTCTAAAAACACTGGTCCATATACAAGTTGGAATCAGTAACACCAATTCGAGGTAAAGTTTTGCTAAATAGGTTAATACGGTTGTGTGATTTTAGACTTAAAGACGAATCCTTTAGGTTGAATCTAAGCATTGAAAATGTCTCCACTTTAATGCTTGATATTAGATATAGGTATTAACTTGTGTCTGGCTGCTGTAAATTAAGGCAGCATCTTTCCTCTCACATGAAAATGTATTTTTTCACATGTAGTATTATTATTTTTATTAATTTAGATTCAACTTTGCAAAGCAGAAAGGGACGTAATACGGACTGAACATTTTAGGCTTCTCCAGATCCAAGATAGTTCGCTATAGAAGATCCTTCCTGCTTACAGCTATCAACACCCATAGCAACTTGTTGAAAAACTGCCCATGAGTTACTACAACATTTAATTTCCCTTTGGGATTAATACTTTATTTTCTTTCTAGTTTCTTCTTAAGAAAAGACACATTTTTAAACTTTATCATAGTTTACCTGCACAAATGTGTTTAGATAAAAATTGTAGAAATTTTGACTGTTTATTATTATTTATTAAGTATGATCATAATGTGTTGATGTTTATCTTTTCTTAGGTTTACCTGGCAGATTGGAAAGGTCATAAGGTTGCTTTATCTGAGCTAGCCTCTCTAGAATACAGAGAAGACTTTCTTCATGGACTTTCAATGTTACAGGCCCTTCAAGACTCACTTGTGGTGCAGCTGGTTGGGTTCTGTCTGGAAAACAACTCAATCATTACTCAGCACCACCCACATGGGTCATTGTTGAATCTGGAAAATGTTCTGGCGCAGCCAAAGTACCAGCATCTAAACACTTGGCACATACGGCTAAGACTGGCCACAGACTACGTCTCCATTCTCCACTACCTGCATAACAGCCCTGCTGGAAGAAGAGTGATGTGTGACTCGAACAGCTTGGAGAAAACCCTTTCCCAGTTCCTGCTGACGAATGACTTCCATGTGGTGATAAATGACCTAGATGCGCTGCCTGAAGTAAATCCATCTGGGGGCATGTTAGTGAAATGCGGCAGCCGAGAGCTCACTGGACACTTTGTAGCCCCAGAGCAGCTTTGGCCTTTCATAGACGATGAGCAGCCATTCTCAGATGATCTAATGCCACCATATGATGAAAAGACAGATATCTGGAAGATTCCAGATGTGACACAGTTCATAATGGGAAGGACTCCAGGAGGAGATCTAGTACATTTTCATCTTTTTCAGATCCATAAGGAATGCAAAAATGTATTGCCTAGGTTACGACCTTCTGCTTTTGATGTTTTGAAGACATATAAATCAGTCTATGGTGCCGTTGTTAGAGAAAACAGAGATATGCTCTAGAAAGACGTTTTATTAATTAAATAAACAGAAAAGACTGCATGAACTTTTGTTTGAAAGACTTGTGGTTGAATGTGATCTGGGTTAGTAATAAGTGTAACTAAGCCTCTTTATTTAGACAACATTTTAAAAGAATGCTGCTCCAGAAAGATCATTTAAGTACACATCAGAGAATCTATTTGGTTTTCTATTAAATGTAATGTTTTTGTATTTCCTGAAACACAGATGAGTAGGAAGTGAGGATTTATTTTTCAAAGAGGAGCTATCACCAAGTGATATATTATTTGCTGCATAATTGAGTTAGCAGAAAAAATATTTATAGTGGAGGAAGGTCAGTCATTTTCAAATTCCATCATTCATCTATATAGACAATTTTATATCCACAGTAACAGAGGTGTCATAAGTATTAATGTTTTTATATACTACTCAACTAGAAGTAGAAGTCCTACCGTTTAAATAACTTTTGTTGAAGTTAGTCAACTTCAGCTTTTTACTCAAGTAAGAGAACCATTTTTTTTAAAAATACTTAAGGAATAGAAATAAAAGTAATGCAGGAAAAAAGGTTATGGACTGATGCTTTACTGCACTAGGCCAGGGTTCCCGCGGCTCCTTAAGAATTCTTAAAAGGCATTGAATTCTTCAAAATAAAACTAAGGCCTTAATTTGTATTAAAATGTCTTAAATCAGTCTTTCGTAGGTCTTAATTTTTAAAACATCATAAATAGGATTATTTTTATTACGATTTATTTTGTAATCTAAATAAAACATTAAAATTGACAATTTTTTTTTTCTTTTTATAAAAAAAAAAAAAAGTGGCTCGCCATTATTGGTTCCGTCCCGATAGTGGAACCAATTAAAGCGTTGTTGCGGCCGGGACGTTTGGGAGATGCGCCGTTAACTTTTTGTCTGGAAAATATGAGCAAGTGTAAATGTAACCAAAATTGTCTCCAGCCAAGAG